AACAGGAGAGATTACCCAAATGCAATGTACATAGATGTACAAGATGTTCACAGTGTATTAGCAAAAACAAATGCTAAAAAGGTTTTGAAAACGTACAGTCAACAGCTTGCTGACATTTTTACTTATATTTACCAATTAATTATTGATAATGGTATTATTCCTCAGTTATGGAAATCGTCTGTTATCATCCCAGTTCCGAAGGTAAATAAACCTGGTGAACTCAACTACTATCGACTTGTATAGCCCTTACTTCAACTGTCATGAAGTGTTTTTAAAGAATATTGAATATGTCTATGGCTAAATGTCAGTAGGTTATGGCTTTTCAACCCTCTTGAAAAAATCCAAGCAGTAGATACCTGCCATGGTGACTTGAAATGAATAAGAATCCACATTGCCAGCCTCATCTTCTGCCATGCATTTTACAGTAGTTGTGTCTGCCTCCAATGTGGCACTACTCATGGGATAGCACCATGGCTGTTGGCCACCCCAACATTGTCAATAGTGACGACCAATTCACCACTGGACCATCAGTATTGAGCAGTGGGGTAACTATGTTACTGGGACATGAAATGAAGGGGGCTCACTGTCTGCAATGGAGGTGGTTGTGAAAATCCGGTGGAAGAGGGACCAGCGTAGAAATCGGGTCGCTCTTGGGGCGGTACCGAGATAGGAGATGTAGTTGAAGTGGCCGCTTCTGCAGTCAACACCATGGGACGAGGTCGACCAAACGGGCCATTAGTCCGAGAAGACGGAGCCTGGCTAGTGCCGGAGGTGCCTTGGACCGAAAAAAACTGAAGGACGCATTGGTGCAGATTGAGGATGCATTCCGGTGTCGGAGTCGCAATGCCTTTGTGGAGGTCGAGGACTGCCCAGAGATAGGTTTGCCTTTGTGATGGATCAAGGGCCAACTTGTCGAGGTTGAAGAGGAACCCCAGGTGTGTCGTGATGTCGAGGGTGAGAGAAGTGCAAGCCCTGGCCTCATCGGGGAAATGACCGATGATCAGCCAGTCGTCCAGATATTGAAAAATGAGGAAGTCGCGCTGTCGTAAGTAGGCGACGAGAGTCTTGGCAATCCTGGTGAAGACCCTTGGCGAGGTTGAGAGGCCAAATGGAAGACCCGGAACTGGTAAGTTTGGCTGCAGTCCTCGAAGCGGAGGAACTTGTGGTCCTGTTTGTGTATCAGGATATGAAGAAACGCGTCCGGTAGGTCTATGCAGGAGGCCCAACACGGGACTGGTAGGGAGTGCAGGACCACGCTCAAGGTCTCCATTCAAAACCGTCTTGGTTTGATGAACTTGTTGAGCAGTTTCAAGTTGATTATTGGTTGCCATTTTCCCGTTCTTTCTTGGGTGTCAGGAAAAATGATGAGAGGAAGCCGGTGGATAGCTGGCTTGGATGCACTGGTGTGATGGCTTGCTTGCGTAGTAACACTGAAATCTCCTCCTCCAGAGCCAGGCGCTTGGACTTGTCGCATGGGGGAGGAGTGGAACGGAAGACCATCCCGGACGGCAGGGGGCTTGTGAACTTGAGGGAGTAGCCGTGGGCAATGGTGGCGAGGACCCAGCTGTCTGCGGTGATTTCCCACCAGGGTTCGGGATCGGCGGCTGCCAAAGGCAAATGGAAGTAGTCACTGGTGCCGTCCCCCAGAGGGACCAGGGGCACGGCATGAGAACCCATGGCCGGCTGGGTGTGGCTGGAGACTTCTAGGAGCAGTTGTAGGTGGAGCTCACCGGGGTCCGATGGCTGAGAAGCTGCCCGGAGTGGACTACTATTAAAAGGGGTGGCCTGCAGACAGGAGCGGATCCGCCCGTCGTCTCGGTGGTGGTGGAAGCTGCCGGCGTGAAGGAACTGAAGTTTCACAAAGCAAAATCTTCTTTGTGGTCTCCATACGCTTCACCTCCGACTCAAGAAGCTCGGTGAACTTCCCAGCGAAGAGTTCATCCCCAAGGAGCGGGAGATCCATGAGTTTGTTCCTGACAGATCCATAGGGGATATTCATGGCATCCACCACGTTGGCTCTGCGGCTAGAAGTGGCCAGAAGGAAGATACAAGTGAACTGTTCAAAGACCAAGTTGAGTCCCTTGTCGAGCCTTCGTAGAGCTAAGGCCGCAAAGTCCGGGGAGACTGGAGAGTCTTCTTCACAGGTTCGGGCAATATGGCTGAACATTGGAGGCCGAAGCGGGACGCCATATCAAGGCGACGGAGAACTGTGTCAAAGTTGGCCTTGTCCTTATCCCGGAAGGTGTTGTGTTTGCCGGAATTGGACGAGATCTTGTCTCTGGCAGCGTCAGGAATATCTGGGGTTGACAGAAAGCAAGAGTGATCCTCTTGCGGAAAGCGGTAGTAAGACATGGCCCTGGGAGGGGTTGCTCGCCAGCGCTCAGCCTTTGCATGGGCATTCATCATCTCCACACATGAACGATCTAGGGGGATCTCTGGGAAGACAGGCTCAGCAGACTCAAGGTGTGAAGGGTAGCGCTTGAATGAAGTATGTCCCTGTTCAGTCAGCATGGGATCTGATGACGGGAGCACAAGAATGAGGATCATGTCGCGCTCAAAAAGGCAAAGGCGACCCTCCAGCTGAGTCAGACCAGCCACGGATTCGATGTCATCATCCTTGGAAGAGAGAGGCCGAAGACCAGCAGAGGGAAGAGCCGAGCCACGTTCTGAGCACAGTAAGTCACTGTGAGTCGGGGCTTGTTCTGGCACCAGGTCTTGCTGAGGAGATGGTTCTAGTTGGAGAATAGAAGTCGCCTCGGTCTCCGAGAAGGCCCCATGTGAGAAAGGAGGGATGGCCGGAAGGGGATCCGGGTCGGGTACCGTTGCTGATGGCTGAGGCTTAGAATCTACCTTGCGGGAGAAAGAAGTGAAGGCCTCGGAGAAGGACTGGAGGGTCGCCATCCATGGGGGTGGACCAAGATTGGAGTGACGTCTCTTCTTGGCCATGGATGAAGAAGAAGCTGAGGAAGATAACTTGGTCTTGCGCTTCTTAGTTTTCACCGGTGCGGGGGAGCTGGAGGCCGGGACGGTGGGAGGAAGGACCGGGCGGGAATCCCCCGAGTGGTCGTCTACTGCAAGGAGCGTCCACGATCAGGATCGGTGGCCTCATGACCAGAGTCCAAAGGCAGACTGGAGCTGCGGATGGGATGTGGCAGACGGAAGCCCCGGCAGCGTAGCAATTCAGAAGGAGCGCCATTGTCCGAGGCAATAGGGGGCTGGGCAGTATGCTGAATTGCTGACTCGCCCATTGCAGAAGTGGTGGAGCATGGCAAACCCGTTGTGGACCCTGTTGCCCGCTAGGAGGGAGTTGACTGGCCCGACTTCCAAGCAGGTGCCGCTTGGAGGGCAGGAGCTGCTGAAGGGCCTGGGGCAGATGGTGGACTGTCGCCCTGTGGGCCCTGCTGAGCCAGCAGTCGGTAGGGTCGTCCGGGGATGCGGTTGGTAGCGATGCCCGGGACCTGCAGCATAGAGAAAGGAATGGTTCATTACTCCCTGACAATCATGATCACGGGCATTGTTGCAGCATAGCACACTCAACCCGATCTGTAGATGTGGAGTGGGCGTCGATGACCAAGGGTAGTGTAGCAGTCCAGCACGCTCGGCCTGGTGTGTAGGTGGGTGGAGTAGTCATCAGTGATCAAGGGCATTGTTACGGTACCACTCGCTCAGCCCGATCAATCCTGGTAGTGCTCATTAGCGATCTAGGCATGTTGCAGTACCTCCGCTCAACCTGATCTTGTCGATAAAGGTCCAGGTCATGTTGCGGTATATCACGCTCAACCCCGGCCTATTCAATCCACTGGGACTCTCCTCATCGAGGCCGTTAATCGAATAACACAAAACTGCACCACAAAGGAGCGGGGCAGCCCACCAAACCCCGCTCCGTGGCCAGACCCGTAGGGCATTGGGCCATATCCCACCACATAGAGAACAAAGGGCTTCCCAGCCCTGTTCAACGGCCATCCCGAATACAACGCATCATGGTAGGTCACACCCAAACCTGTATATGATGCGCAGAAAAAGTGGCGGTAAAAAACCACAAAAAACGCAGCATGGAAAGAACAAAAATGAGAATAAGCACTCTTACCAAGAGATAAGAGATCCCTCTTTATTTCGTAACAGGAATCAAGTAAGTTCACAAACGTGAAAGGCATGGAACTCGAAACTTTGAAAATGTCATAAAAGACACATCTTTTAGGCCACTAAGATGATTTGCCAATCAAATAATTTTTTTCTGTACCGCACATTTTTATGAAGCTCATTAAATTGGACCAAAACACAGAAATAGTTTTAACTGTTTGAAAAAACTTACCAATGCGATACTGTGATGCCGTGTGAACAGTGGCTGGTCCACTTGATGGCTGAATACGCAGTATTGGTGGTGTCAGACCACTACATGTGATGACCCTATTATTGCTGATCACTGGATTGACTTGATTCATAGGAGAGATGTTGTTAATAGGGTCCTCAATCTGAACCAGGGAAGCTGTGGTACTAGGTGGCAGTGATAAGATGGGTATCTCAATGGATGTCACACCTGGGCTGTTTGTCCCATTCCGTAAGAGTGTATTTGTCGAAGAATTCAAAAGAAAAGTTATGAGAACAGTCAGACTGAGTTGTCAGATTCTTTCAGCTTTTGTCGATGAGTGTTCCAAGGCAATCCACTATCACCCATAATATTCCTGGCAGTTTTCGATCCCATCATCCAATGCCTTAAGTTGATGGAAGAAACTCATGGTTATTGCATGGAGGAAAAGTGTACATATGCCAAAGGCATAGATTTGAGCCTGAAAGTGGGAAGGATGATTTACTGTTTACAAATACCATATTGGAATTATCAAGGAACCATCCAAATTCCACAATGAATGGAACTGAAAAGTAGAAGTATTGGTGACTTTGTCATCCCAAATTACACACCACTTGTAAAGTCCTCTGGAGATCGATCACAGTCAGTGACATGACTATACAAAGCTAGAAAACCAGTCCCAAACAATCCAAGCTACACATAACCTTGCACAATGTTTATAATTTCCAGTAGCAGATACGAGTAATAAACAAAGAAAAAAATCAGCTAATACAAAAAAAGACATGTCTTCATGTATCACCAACAAGTTCATGTTTTCCTATCATTTCCAACATTATATTCAATCTGAATATTCACACCAGCATGACCAATCACCATGAATATTCACACTAACATGACCATTCACCCTGAATATTCACACAATAATGACATGACAAGTTTGCTAGAATAAAACAGACTGCGTATATGTATGTGTGCTACATTTTCTTTCCAGTACCACATTACATTCTGAGTTGGTATGTTTCATATTAGCAATACAGAGGCACACTAAAGCAACGATGATCCACAAATTTGCGCAAAATAATTGACTGTCACACTGCTGTGCAGTAGCAACATCAAACCAAAAACTGTGTGAATAGAAAGATTTTAGAACGTACAGCCACAATCACTTAGCAAGTTTGCACAAGAAATATGTGAACATTACAATGAGACTAGTTTATCAAATCGCTGTGTTAGTTCACAGTGGTTGGGTTTTCAATGCAGGTTGGACACACTTTTCATACCAATAGCTGTGTTATATTGCTGAGTAAAGCACAGATGAAGTACCACAGACTTACACAACACTTTGCCTTGCTTTGTCTAGAGGTAAGTTTATCTGAGGACTGCTCAACTGTTAAATCCAAACCAAAATAAATCATTGATTCACTATTGATAACTGATGAAGAGAAAATATTACAAACAATACAACAAGGTATACATCATTACAGATCTCATTCATAATATGCACAGGCATTTACACACAAGTACTTGCAGTCACAAAATATACATGCATATCACTACATATGGATTATGGGGGAGTACATGGTCCAACAGTTCAGGTGTTGGACTCGGGTGTGACATTGTGTGGTTTCAGAGCCCACAGGTGCCATAATGCTTGTGTTTCTTAGGTAAGACATGTAACAACTGCCTCTCTCCATCCAGAGTATCATAAATGGGAATATGATGGGTAATGATCAAGTTGTGCTGATCTTGAGCTTTGACAGAAACTGATTTCATGGCTCAGTGAGCTGGGATAATAATTGGGAAGTACTTAGAGACTTAACTGATAAAGCACAACATTTTATAGGCACTCATTATTGGTATAATTGTTATTAGATGGGGATTTTGGTGAATGTGCTGAGAATGCACTCCAACCAACTGGTGGGCTTTAAAAGGAGAATTTCTTGTACGTACAGGAAACAGTTTAGTAAAATACAAGAATGTTATATTTGACTTCTAGGAGGAAAGGATTGTTCAGAAGAAGTGCTGGTAAAATTTTAAGTCACAATTTCAGACAGTACACTTGTCCATCAATAGGATAAAGCAGTCTGTGCATGCAAACCTTCAAATTTTACAAACTTGAGAAAAAGCTGTTTGAAATGTTTTCAGTAATCTAAAACGCAGCAATATTTTTGGGTAGTACATTATTAATGTATAGATGTAGTTTCTGCTTTGAACGAAATATAAAAACATTTTTCAATTATCATAATTTGTTAAAGTATTCAATAATATATTTCAACATATAAAGATATTATTTTTAATTAAATGCAACACATCTTACTTGGGTTTAGGCTATTTAAAACATTAATACAATGGACACAAAGGTTGTATTGGCAGGTGTATTATTTGTATGGTTTACGTATTTGGCTGATGTACATAGCGCATACAACTGTGTATGCAAGATACAGACTATTCAAAGAGAAGACATAACTGTGGTGGCACCACATTACACAGGTGCATTCTTGGACTTGACAAGCACATACATTTGCCAAATCATGACACCCTTTTGGTTGAAAAGGCATGTATTGCGCATGTGCACCACCTGTCCTGAAATGTTGTGCCACCACAGTCGTGGCTTCTAATCGTGGCCGCCAAATTACACTATACCTATACACTTTTTCCACATTGATTAATTGAGGATGGTACAGGTTAATATTAGAAATGCCCTCACTGGTGAACGTATCTGACAGCTTTAGGACAGCACTCACTGCTTGGATGTCAATGGAATCACTCAGTAAATTGGGCCAAATCTATCTGAAAGCCATCAAAACACCATCACCTGTTGGTATTGAGTCATCAAAATATCCACACTTATGCGTTAACATCAATTCAGCAGCAATGCATTCTTTTGAGTGGTTCTCATAAATTAAATCAGAGCTTTCAGCTCACAGTGTAGCAGGTAATCAATAGTATGTACAAGTAATCTAGTATATCCTTGCACCAAACATGTTTGAACTTTGACGGTGTACAATATTTTTACAGGTTCAGCAAGTATTCATAGGCTTTGGTTCTCTACATACAACCAAATGCAAAGTTCTTAAAACAAGCAAAATCTTCACTTTAACACAGTTTCAAAGCTTCATAAATTATATGGTCATTCTCTAGTCTAGGTTGCAAGACTGGAAATCACTTTATGACCACCATTGTTCACGGCCAAGTCAAGACCACAGCTGAAGATACCAAGGTCATGAACAGGCTCGGGCAAGATACCTGGTCTGCTCATGTAATTCACCTGGACATAAATTCACTTAGACTGATACAATATAAGACTCACACTATGGCATTGATTCAGTAGAATTTTTCCATGCACTGAAGAAGAATTTTATTATTTTTCTTTGCTTTTCATTGTCCACAGCGGATCCAGTGAGCCGAGAGGGTCATCTTCTGATTGGTTGGCTCCTAACATGCTCTTCTGTCCAGTGAAGTCTGCCTTGGAAATCCTCTGCTTGGAGTTGCCTTTGATGGAAAAGTTTTGTGGTGTGAGGTCAGCTAGGATGGAAGGCAAGGACCCATCCCCGGGACTCTTTGAGCCCTGGGCTGGGGCTCCACCTTCTTGCTGGCTGGACTCCACTACATCCGGGATGAACTGGGGCGGATTTAGACTGAAGTCAGTCAGGTTTGATTCCGTAAACTCCACCAAGGAAGGAGTTGCCTGAACAGCAGAGGAGGGGTTGGAGGGGCTGCGTGACTTGGCAGGGGAGTCCGCTTGACCTGCTTCGTCCGCTGCCTCATCACAAGGCACCACTTCGGCTGGAGTCTCAGGTTCAATTTCAGGTGGCAATACTGGACCTTGATTGGTGGGTTCATTATCACTCACAGGCAAAAGAGAGCTTTGATCGGTCAGGCTGTCCTGCAACACAGGGCCTGTAGTGTCTGGTGCAGGCATGGGGTCTGAGGTGCTGGTCCGGACAGACATTTTGGAAATCCTTGAGTGGAGACTTGTGACTGAATCGGCGCCCATGATCACATCAAAGGAGGTGATTCGCTGAAGGTTTTTCAGGTCAACCTGCGGAGATGACACTGACGACTTAACAGATAGGCCACCTGTGAACAATAAGAATGGAAAAATACTGCTATCCTGTCACTTTCAAAATAAAACAGAAATGCTTGGCCTCTCTGACAAACTGTACCATGTAATAATGAACCATTTCCAGGGGAAAAGGGGAACAGACCACTAAAGAAAAGATTTCAGAAATGTTCACGAAGGCCATACGCTAAACTGTTCACAATAAAACAGGAACAATGCACTGAAAAACCCAAGGCAGACTTGTTTGGACAAGACTCTAATTTAACAAGAGTACTGGTTATGATTGCGACAATCTGCACCAACATCATACTGATATATCTAAAGATGTTCAAAATGTGTTGTGAAATTGATGACAGATGGAATATAAGACAGAAGTGACAGTGTGTGTGCATTAGATTTTCTCTTTTTTTGTGTGCTGTAGTCAAAATGCTCTGGACGTCTTTGGGAGAACCTGGTGTATAAGAGATTGTGTAATGATCAGACAAGTCACAGTATTAGCTGAAAATTGGGTTTTGAATGCCCCTGAAACATCCTCAGTAGTTGCCAGAAGTGTCATTTTTTAATATCTTTTTCCTTTAATTAAGTCTTGGACACTCCCCACATCTTGTATTATTTATTGAATATTTGTAAAACAACTCGGTTACATCAGTCCACCTTTTAAGACCAATGTATTGTGTTTTCTATTCTTGTTTGATCTTTTGATTGTTTATAATTGAAGAACTGTAAGCGCCTATGGAAGGATGTGTATGCAGTTGATGTGACAAAACAATTCTGTGTGCCAAGGTACAAACTCTTAACAATCTCCAGATCGTTTTCCTCTGCTTTTCAGGGCAAAAAAGGAGCGGTATAGAGATAATTTTATCACAAATGATTCAGCATACATGCAAGCTGAAAGGTAAATGACTTTTACACACTGCAATGAAAGTACAGAATTAAGGGGCAACAAATAAATCCAAAACAGCACAACTTACGTGAAACAGAATCATTGCTCAACTAGGCACATGTTGGGGAAAAACACAAGTGATTTAGAGTCGGTTCCTGCTGATAATGGGTAAATACGTGACTAGTCACTAATAATGTACATTTTGGATGAGACAACAAGATATGCTCTCAAGAGAAAAGGTAAAAATGTGACCTACCACCACAAAATAAGCTAAAAGTCGGAAGTTTCAAAAATTAAGATATTGGTATTTTTTAATTCAGCAGAAAAGAGCTTTCCAGTGGTATGTACATGGAATACTCAGGGTATAAGAGTATAAGATGCCAATTGACATTATTCTGGCAGTTTTGCATCTTTGTTCCCGACACTGTTTCAACATTTCTGACCAGGCATAAATGTTATCGTCAAAATTGCTGAGAAAATGACACTTTTAAATATATGATCCTGCAAAATATTTACAGAGATGCCAACATTGCAACTCAAAAAAGAGTAATTTGAAACAAGCCACATGCCTCAGGCAAAATATTTCTTAGCCTATGTACACATGTACATGTATGTGTGTGTGTACACATACCTGTTAATGATGAAAATCCAACATGTTTTTTCGTTTTACTGTGCTTGTCGATGTCATAGCCTACGTACATGTAGGCTCCGCCGTGGACAATGTTAATGTTGCACCGACACAGGTTGCAGAATGAATGCAAATTTTTCACTGCAACCTGATTTTACAACGAAGTTCCACTTTTTGGTGTACTCCTCAAATTTCTGGTGGAATTACTCCATTATTTTTAGGAAACTTTAATGTTTTCTGGTGCATAAACGTCGAATAACTGTATTGTAAACAGGCGTACAGTGTACAGTAAATGTTGAAACCATTAGTATCCATATCACGCGCCAGAGTGAGCCGAGTTGACTGCACAGTTGGCTGGTTTCCGATCTAGCTACTACTATCGACTATTTTAGGTGCTAGATTGCGAACAATCTAGCGTTGTATCCGAATCCGTTACATAGAGCAAGAGCTATCTTGGTCTTTGCTGCATTGGAAATATGCAATAATAGTAGCCGTAGCTCTTCAAACCCATTTCCGACACTGCTACAGATAGATTGACAAGATTACTTGTGCCGTTTTGGGCGCTACACTTGCCAACCTATAGACTAATACCAAACAATGCATTTACAGTACATGTTATATGAAGTAAAAGGAGTCAAGGCGTGTGTTTTCATACTTTCTTCACAAAATTCACTTGATTTGAAAAATCATAAAATATGATATATATATAAATTCGTAATTGGAGAAAAATTTTTTTTAAATTACGCCTAAATTGTTAACCACATTTCGCCAAATTTTTCATTTGTTTCCGTTTTCAAAATTAAATTAAAATCTTCATTTACTGGACATCACATGAAGGACTGTCTGGTTTCTGATCTAATCTGACAGACAACATCTATTGACGCTGGAGTATTTCAGCCAGGCCTGCTGTCTTGTAAAAAGAGCCCAGATTGTGCAGTGTTACATAATTTTCGTTTGTTCATGAAACTGGCACAGTGCGCTGCTGATGTCTTTTCAATAGGGGCCAAATTAGCGTGCAGCGATACTATGTGGCTCATCGCTGGGGTGTTGGAGCACTTTTGTCCCCTGTGGTAATCCATTCGCACTGAATGCTCCGAACAGTGGTATACTATTTCAAAAAAATAGTGGATTATCTCCATTATTGACAGTGAAAAAACGTTGGTAATTCCCAGCAGCCTGGTCTTTTGTTCCCAGTACGGTCTTTTGTTAAAGGCCCAATTCCCTTTGTCAGATTTTGGGAACCCCGGCTATGCATATAAAGAATACTTGCCCAAAACTGGGCTCCCTGGCAGCAAGTGGTTAATGTTGGCATCTCTGTATTTAGAATTAAATAGCGGACAAGTTACTCTTTCCAATATTACAAAATCAAAAAATTGACCGTCAATATGACTTTTAACCCTAAAAATAGAAAAGAACGGGATGCCACTTTACTCTTATTTTGTCGTGACAGGTCACAAATATGTAACACTGAAACAAACAGGAAGATTAGTGTAAATCACTAATTTATAAACGTAAAACATCTTTAAAGCTTAGTCCCTGCCACAATGGAGACAAAACATCACTGATCTTGTCTGACTACGTCAGCTTACTCACGCTTTGAGAGGATCTGCTGTGCAAAACACAAGACTGCTGTGTAGGTGAACTTCAGTTGTTCCTGAGTACACAACAAAAAAGTACCAAAATCAGTGTCTCATGGTCTACTTCAGGGGTAGCATGCATGTGGACTTTTTTCCTAACGATGTTCATATCGATCTAGTTTGGCCATGTACTTTTAGCTACCCTTCCCTAGCTAGCTAGTTCTTCTCTAACTACAATGTTTCTGACTAAACCAAAGGTTTTAATTCCATGCCTTGAATTGGTATGATGCCCATGAGGCTTGGCTGTGGAATATAAACCAATTCACACGCTACAAGCTCTCAAAGTAAATAACAAAGGCTGCTTTCAATGTGTTTCTCTCAATATTCATGGGTGGACAGAAATGTTTCGCGCACATTGCAGTCTGATCTGCCTTATTGTAAACTCATGTGAGACTACACTCCCCTGAGTCTGACCAAGCATGACCGTTCTCTATCCCCTAGCTTATACTCAAGCTGTAACATGCTTGAATGTAGCAAAAGAGTTCTTTTGTTGATTCCTTGCATAAGCTGCAGATTGCATTGCTTACAACTCACAAGAGCCAGCGAATAACACAGCAAGAGCAGGCATACATGTCAATTTACAGTTACGTTTTAAGTCCAACAAGAACGACTCATTTTCAACTGAATGAGCACAAAACTTGCATTATCATTAAATGAAAGAAATGGAATGAGTGTGCATACTAAGTGGAGCCTAACTGTGCTTCACTATGTTCCACTGAGCATGCATTTATGCACAACGACCAAAGTCAAAGAAATCTGTAGCAATGACTGAGTAACAATGTGCACTGCTCAAGGGAATGAGACTTCAAACTATTTAAAATTGACACGACAAAATAGGAATATTGCTGCCCACTTGACACTGTAGAGTCTTTACCTTCTCAGCCACCATGCCTCTCCTCTGTTGTCTCAGTGTCTTCACCTTCCTGGGAATGTCAATGATACCGCCCCCGCACATCATTTCCCGAACTGCCGAATAGATCAGACAGAATGTCCCCGTCCGTCCAACTCCAGAACTACCAGATACAAGATTATGGAAACAAAATACGAAGCCACTGCATAAGACTAATCTAGCCTTGTGATGTGAACCACTGATTGACTGGTCTTCCAAAAGCTAATGTACTGTGTTTGGGTTTTCCCCAACCATTTTCTGTATTTCTTTATCACTTGATAACACTACACTCTCTTCATCAATGTGAGGTGATAAAGTCAATGTGTCCAATTTCCAACTATCAATCAGTGTCTTATGTGAGCACTTTTCAAAACAGGTATGAAAGACACTGACTCGTGGTATGGATTTCCAAGTAACTGACACCTTGAATCTATTCATATCCTCTTTAAATCTAATGTCTTTCAACTGACCTACATTCACACTTTGTATATCTTATGTAATACAATTATATCAAAACTTTTTGGTCAATGGTAATGACTAAGATCCAGGTACAGTTGTCCAGTAACTTACTTGCAGTGCACTACAATAGGAGTGCTAAGACTTCTCTGCTGCATGTAGTAACTATTGACTTCACTGATGTACTGAAGCAGGTCTGCAGGTCGGTTCGGAACTCCACTACAGAGAAAAATAACAGACACAGGGTCAAGTTGTGAAACCAACAATGCCAGACTACATCAAATACATCACGGTTTATCTGCATGGTTATGTATGGAACAGGTGTACTGATCAATGAATGTGGTCATAATGGCACAACATTAGGAGCACTAATGGGTCATTCTATAAATTCAGGGTCCAAAAGTGTTATATCTAGCGTCCCTGTTACACCTGACCTCTGTAATCTGATACGAAAATATCACTGAAATTGATTTCAAACTATTTCTATTTGCTTGGCAGATAATTTGCATTAATTCATTGCTCTTGGAATGCAAGAGTGTATAATGAACTTAAAAAATCATACGTTGGATGTGACAGCGACACAAGAAAAATTGGACAGGTACTTTATAAAATAAACCACATCAGACTTTTGCTACAGGCAGCTTGACACTGTGAACAACAAAGAAAAGGAGATTTAGGGCTGCAAGTATTGTTCAGTTACTCCATTAATCAATGGATGTGTCAATTACTCAGTTGCAAATTATTTGTATTTGGCTCGTAAAAACCACTAAATGAAAATAAAGGTTGCCTATTGGGAGAGGCTCAGGAGAACAGCTGAAAACATCTTTAACCAAATTCTCAAACATTCCATCAATAAAAAGTTTTAAGAAAGATGAGGCAGATGACATACATTGAGAAGACACTATTTGCGTTGGAGGATCCCAACTCTTGGTGGACAAATCTAACACCAAGACAAGCAACAAACTACTTTTTTGTTCAACAAATTTACAACTTACAATTCTGGCCAGGCAGTAAACTGAAGCTGAAAGACAGTCCTCTCTTGTTTGGTGTCCTTGTGAATCAGATGGAATGTCCTGTCTATCTGGTGGTCAGTGGATCTCTTGCTCTGAAGGCTGATAAGGATGGACCCGTAGGTCTTGACCTGGCCTCGCTCCTCGGGCCAGTACTGGTCAAAATCTGCTTTGCTCTGGTCAGAAAAACAAGAATTAAAGTTTAATAATGAACAAAGAAATTGCCTATAGTGGGAATTGAACCTGCTACCTCCAGGACACCATGTCGGTTCTCTACCACCTGAGCTATCCAGCCATGTGTTGGTGATTCCTCCCATTTGCCTGCGGGTAGGTGCTAGTCAGATTCACCAATGTGTGCATGTATTAACTGAAAACACAACAGAGGGTTTACAAATCATTGCTTCAACTATTCAGCTTCAGGCTTTGGTTACATAAAATTTAGTTCCGAGTAGAGAGACTTTAGCTCTATACAAGTTCATTTTCTAATGCAGAAATGTCACAATAATATTTGACCTCCAGACTGATTATAGAGCACTCCACAAGCTGAATGCAAAGATGAAACTGTCATCAGGAAATGGCCCAATGTCCTTTTTGCAATTAGGACATAAAGTGCCCCCTACATGTCCTGTCAGGAGCGTGCTGGCCCGTGTGGGTGTTCAGGTGACATGTGTCACATAAGGAGCACAGTACACCTACCTTGGCTGTGGGCGCCTGGGAAACTAGCATGGCTATCAAGGAAACCTGCTGCTCATAGACCATCAACCAGAAATCACTGAAGGCAGAGGTTACAGGAGCTTGGGTGGCAATGAAGCGAGGGGAGGCCGGGGATAAATCATTGATGAAACTGGCATTGATGTAATCATCCTTGCCAGTTTGAAGCTTGACACGATTATGATCATCTACACATTATATAAAAAGGGAAAAATACATGTTTTCTATCCTTTCCAGAGACAAGTAAAACAAATCAATGACATACAGGTGAGCAAGAAGAACTTCCCATTTTCTTAAGCCTTTTCATTACAGTTTAGGCCCCCCCAAAGTAGTTATGCTTCCGATTACATGCATCTCAAAAAGGGGCGTTAGGTGGGAATTATTTTTTGGGGGGGTCAATTGTTTTGTGCTAAATCGAATGGTAAGACTGGGAACGAAAGCTACCAAAAATTGCCTCAAAAAGTGCCTTAATCTATGTAAAAATTTCTGCAGTTGACATTTGTTAAGAATTATGGACAATAATACACCACTATGCACAATACTAGTTAGGTAATCACGACGGCAAACTGGCCAACAATGTCAGTGTATCGTGTGGTAAGCATCCATGATGCATCCAGACAGGTGGCAATAAACATTGTGCCATGGCAGGAAACTTTGCGGAAGCACGTTCACTTCAAGTACAAGCAACCTCAAATTTAACTTATGAACACAGAAACTACACACACAGACAACTGACTAAGTTCTGTGAATTAACTTGCAGACATCTTTTTGCAATATTCATTTTCATAGGGCCGAGTCAATTCGAATATAATATATATAATATTATTTCATTTTTTATTCATTTTCTAACTTGCCAAAACAAATTTTAGGGTCGCACTGAAAAATTAGGGTCGGTCAGGTAATTGGAAAGCAGAGTATTTTTGGGGGTCTTAACTTTCATTGTGCAAAGCACAATTCCTTGCATAAAATTTGAAGTATAAACGGGAAGTAGAAGACTTTCAGCAGCGTTAGTGACCAACTTATCCACAAATCATACTGGCAAACATTCATTCCCCAGTGTTACAATTATCATAAAGTACTGAATCTAATAATAACAATTTGAAAGGTGTTACATCTTACATGGCATTACATCCGGATGTCTGTTCTTGATAGAGTAGCAACGGGCAACAGCAATGGAACAATGCCTGGTGTCACGATCCTGTGCTTCACTCAGTTCCTTAAGTAAAAAAGGACAGTCAATTATAATATATGAGGCCTCCTTCTCAATCATCATAACCACCTTGTCTGTTAATTGGCAAGCACAACTAACATTAATAGTTTTAAAGTTTCATTGTTCGTGGAGAGCTGGTCAGATGCCATAAAACCAGGAAACACCGTACATGTAGCCACAGATCACGCCCCAAATACACGATACATGTACAACCCGTGAAGTGGGGAATGAGGATCACTTAATAGGATACGGCTTTTTTTTAACGCAAACTATCACACAAACCATGCAGGGAAACTGACTGGGTGCTTACATATTAATTATAAAGTCCAGGAAAGAACATGGCTTCATAATTTCCAGGTTGCTTTAATTAATGATATTAATGTGATTTTTTCTGTTTTGACATATGGCAAAAATCACATCTATGCCAAAATTAATATTTACATGGGCACTTACCTTCCACAGTCCATCAAGTACTATTGGCCCACTTAGCATCTGTTTCCCAAGCCCATCTACATACTTCTCAAATCTCTCAACCTCATCCACAAATTTATCCAGTGTGTGCTTATCATCATAGGGATCTTTAGACTTAGGAAATGGGCGAGCAATGACAGACTGTCCTGCTGATGAGGGTACTGTGGATGGCACAATTGTGATTGGCTTCCCTGGGGATTGACTTTCTGCCAATTTTGCAGGTTGGGTGGAGGTGCTGGGAAGTCCAGTTTGTTTGAAAATGTCAGACAACGCTGCCTCATTAGACGAATAAGGCTGTGTGGGTGGTGTCGTTGTTGGGAAGGTGAGGGCCTCCACTGAGGTTGTAGAGGTGGCATCTTCGGGTGAAGCTTCTGAAGTGTCCGTCTGTGGTACCAGGGGTTTACCAAGGGATATCTGCTCACTGTCCGGGCTGTTGGAGAGCAAGTCACGGGAGCTGGGGTCTATCTTCACAGGTTGCAGGGAAGGCTGAGGCAGGCGTCGCTGCTCCTCCTTCAGGGCTTTGTTGACCTGTTGCACTTGATTCAGAGGGGGTTGAACCGGCTGTTGGTAAGGCTGATTCGAAGATCCTCCTGGGGGTAGAACAGCGGTAGCGTGAGGTTGTTGCATGGGCATTCCTGGATGAGAAGGGTTGGCACTGGATGTGGTGATGCTTTGAAAGGGTTGATGCATGTTAGGGTGAAGGGGAGGGTTCATGACAGGTGGCTGCATGCTTGGGTTGGGTGGCTTTGCAACAGGTGGTTGGTTGTTACCTGGAAGAGGCATTCTTTGGTTGGGTGGGTTTACACTTGGGGATAGCTGGACTGGACTGGGCTGGCTGAAACCCTGCGGCAGGTGCTGTGACTGGTTTGCATACCCCGTGCCTTGTTGAACGCCAGTGTACTGACCACTCTGCTGTGACTGTGGCTGCTGAGAATAGGGCTGGTGGTTGGACTGTGCTGGACCACTGTGCTGCTGCACTGGCTGCTGCTGCTGCTGAGTAGGGACTGGTTGTTGGTGCTGTAGTTGTGGACCTCGCAACACCTGACCCCCGGCCTGTGGATATGGTGCTTGTGCAGCCTGCCCCACTTTTGGTGGATGACCCGTGGTTCCTGGCTGTGGCCCTGTAGGAACAACTTGACTCACTGATGTGGGTTGCCTACCTGAACCAGGCTGCTGCCCTGTAGGGACCATCTGATGTCTTCCTGCATGGCTCAAGGGTTGTCCGATGTTAGCTTGCTGGTGTCCAATGCCATGAGGAGGCTGTCCAGCAGTACCTGCTGGTCTCATGCCAGGCATACCACCTCCTGACAAAGCTGCTGCTTGGTTGGCTGGAGGCAAGTTCTGTGCTGACCCAGGTTGCTGCTGAGGGTAAGCCTGCTGTCCTTGAGCCTGGGATGGATACCTGACACTTTGAGGTATACCTTGAGGCCCATGTCTGACAGGGCTTCCTTGCTGAGGGTGAGTGGCTGAGAACTGTGGCTGATTTAGAGGCTGCTGTTGAAGCTGTTGCTGGTTCTCTTGTTGCTGGTACTGCTGCTGTGGCGGAGGCATGCCCTGTCCGAAACCTGCCTGCTGATTGGGACTTGGCTGTGCTGGACCTTGTTGCAGAGGCATTCTGTGCTGAGGGCTAGCTGTAGATGTTTGGCTCGGTGGCATGTTGAACTGTTGTGACCCCATATGCTGAGGACCAGATGGGGTAGGATGCCTGGGCTGAGTATTCTGTTGGGGCCTGTGCTGGGGACTAGCTTTTGGTGTTTGGGTGAACTGCTGAGCAGGTTGCTGGTAATGATGGTGTTGCTGCTGCTGTGGACCAGTGGGGTGAGCTCCTTGGACACCTGGCAGCTGCGACATTCCTTGTTGATGGCTCAAAGGCTGTGATGTACTCTGTGGTGGCTGTGCCTGTCTTATTTGGTTTGGCATCATTGTGAATTGTGACTTGCTGTCAGGCTGTGAGGCTATTGGCTTCTGTGGCTGTTGCATGACACTTTGGTATCCAGAGTGTGGTTGGTTCATTGGCAGTGGTGTGTTGATTTGCTGAGGCTGTGGTGGGATGTTAGACTGCGGCATCACAGAGGGCTGAGACTGCATCTGGCTGCTCAGGTGCGGTGGACGTGAACTCCCTCCTTGAGGAATTTGCTGATGCCCATTAAGAGACTGGTGGGCATTCACATTGTTTGGATTTTGCATCGGTACGTGAGTTACAGCTGCCGGGATTGGGGTTGTGATGCTGCTAACCATGGCTGTGCTGGTGTGTGGCTGGGCTTGAACACTGTGAGGCTGTTGGTCAGTTTGCTGTTGGTGGGCGCCAGGTGGCATGTGAAGGACTGACTGCTGAGGATAGCTACTTGGTGGTGCAGAGCTGGTAAAAGAGTATCCAGGCTGCTGCTGTGAATGCGGCGCCTGTATTTGCTGAGTACGCAGCGATCCTGAAGCTAGCTGTGGTGGTGGTTGGGGTTGTGACTGGCTGAATGGCTGGGGCTTCATGGGTTGCTGCATTTGAGGTCTGCTGACAGGCATCGCTGGCTGCTGGGATCCAGAAGATGATATCATGGGGATCTGAGAGTGTGGTAGGTTTCCTGGATGTGGTACACTTGGCTGAGGTTGCTGTGCCTGGCTGAGTGGCAGCCCGCCAGCAGGGGGATGGCTTTGGAGAGACACAGGGCCAGAAGGTTGATTCTGGGGAACTGTAGGAGTACCTTGGAGCATCCTTGATGGGTCACTAGCTGTGCTGCTTGGCTGCCCTACATGGATTGGTGAGCCAGAACCTGACCCAGACTGTGAAAGTGAGGGCGTCTGAGAAGGCAGCCTGTAACTATCCAACGAAGACAGGCTTGATGGGGAGTCAAAACTAGATTGCCTTGCTAAACCCTGGCTGGGGTAGGGTCCATGGCCCAGAGGCAATGGATGCTGCCCAGATACTGCTGCTGGCATCGTTGGCACACTGCCAATACTGCCCCCTCCAACTGGTGGGGTGAGGGCAGATGACTTGGGTTTCCAGAAATCAGAAAGTTTGGGACCTGAAGGTACAGGATTGGCAGGGAGGACAGGCTTGGGTGCCGAGGGTCTAGCTTGCACTGTAAAGAAAAGATTAAAGAGGAAACTATCTTGAGAATTTTGGTTAACAACAGCTACCTTTCATGCGATAATTAATACATTTTAAAGCAGAATTTCAGCAACTAGGATCAGGAGATCTGAATTAGTAAAAACAGACAGTTTTAGTTTAAATGAGTCTTTCAATCATAAACATATTTATACTATTTCACACTGGAAGTTTGGGTGATGTCTCCTTTCAGATTGATTCCGTCCAATTTAGAATGCTATATACAATGCCAAAATATTAATGTTATTTTTATTAAAAAGAGTTCACAACTTGCTAACTGCAGTCAAAAAGGGGTTCAGAGGAAGCACACAATCAATCAACTTGGGTCACCCTTCTTACCTGGTTTTGGTTTCAGCCTGGCCATGGTAGCCTCTCGTTCTTCCTGGTTGACCTTGACGACCCCCTTGGTCCGAGTAAGGAGTTTGCTCAGCTCCTGCTGGAGCTTCTTGTAGAACTCAATACCCTTGTGGGACTTGGCCACGAGGTCATCATACACTTTGTACGACCCTATCAGCTCCTGGATCTTGTCATCTCGTCTGGAACATGAGGTGTAATGAATGATGCAATAGCCTATCAGTAAAATCTTCAAATGGAGCTGTATGGACATCTCCTGATCCACCTTTAAGACCAGGTTCAAGCAGGGACCACTTGTGAATCATTGGTCAATTTTGTTTGGTACCCAAGACATGTTTTAAGCAATGGTTACCAGGTAAAGTCAACCATTAGTTGATAAATAGTCCCTGACCAAATTTGGTCTGAGCTTGAAATTCCTTGGAGTAGGTATTTGCTGTGGAAATGCTTATACAATAAAGCTTGGGAATTTCCTTGGGCTGAATATGCAGTCATGGAGCAGGGGTTAAAGGGGGAAAGTTTTACCCACAATGGGATTTGGTTATTTTTCTTCACATCTCATGATTAATCGTCAGATCAGGACAGCTGTACCAGGTCTCTTCAAATGAATCTGATTGCTGGAATATGGATTAAACATACTTCAAACCCACTGAGGAATGGGACAGCAGAGTCTGCCATGCAATGAATTCCTAAATAAGGGGGGAGGCAAGCAATGGTCGTCAGGTTGATGCAGTGGTACTTTCCTTGCCTTCCACCTGTATGATCCACACTCAATTTCACCCAGGTGGATATTTTGATTGGATTTTCAGTTCCTAATTCCGTGGTTTCCCTAGATACTATTCCACGACTTCCTTCACTCTAAACATGAAAATATCTTTGGGCTACAGTGTTGCTGCACTTTTGAGGAACCTTAGGTTTCTTTACTAGAAGAATCAATATCAAACAAAATAATTTGGTAGTAAATCTTACTTCCTTGTAATGTCAGCGTAATTCTTTCTGGTATCAGCATAAGCAGCATTGGCTTCTGTCAAGGCCTTTAAGATGTTCTCTTGGGCAGAGAGGTTCTGCTCGATGTAAGCCACAATAGTGTCATGTTTCTTCATTTCCTCTTCAAACAATCCCTGCCACAAGAAAAAACTATTCAGGTAATTTTTTTTTTGGGGGGGTATGGATTATTTTTCGAATTATAGCTATTAAGTTACTCAGCTTGATGTCCCAGGAGTTTTTTTTGCCGATGCACATCAAAAAAATCTTTTCCACATGCTAAAGCACCCTCCATCAAAAATTGGAGAATTTTAAAGACAAACTGTTGACAAATGAGTGTCTAAGCGAGTAAGGGGGAAAAGACAGAGATATAGGAAAACTATACAAAGGTCTGGTGTACCACCATGTTATCTTCTCAAGTTGGAATATTATGTGCATGCTACCCCCGTGGTCATTGGACAAGCCCTAACCACAATAATCCTAGGCTTTTATAATGTAGCGTGATTTACTACTGTTCATCCAACTGTAGTCCACGCATCGAAAATCGAATCTCTTTACGGTGATCATGTGACCACAATCAAAACCCTTGTCATAAGCCCCATTGCTATTGCTGGCCCAATTGCAGTGCATTATCAGCGGTCTATACTCATGCAAACAAAAAATAAAGATTCGCAACACATCATTTGACTGGTCTTTTTTCAAGTTTAGTAAAAATGCCAACAATAGATATTTTTAACTGACAAAAACAGAGCATTTAGAAAAATAAAAAAAGGAAAGTTTTGACCAATTTGATGGTCCAGCCTGTCAAGAGCCAGTTGAAGTGGAATATTCTTAAACGTGTATGTACCTCTAATGTTGATAAACATTGGACGACCTTTCTTAAGTTGAACTACGGATACCTCCAATGTTTTGTTCATGTCTCTGTGATTAACTTGAACAAGTTTACTGTAGAGCAATTCGTGTACCTTCAGGTTCCCCCCCTCTGTGATGACAATTCGGTTGGTGATGTCATCGTTACGCAGCTGATCTCGCAGCTGAGTCTCAAGGCTCGTCCTCTGGTTCTTCATTTCCTCTACCTTCTTGCTAAGCATCTTCAGTTTGGATTCCACCTCCTTGTCAGCTGATGCTGAGTGGCAAAAGGGTTTTGGACCATGAAACATTAACACAACCCCCCTGATGCTGATTTTTGGAGGGCTAGAATCAGATACAGCCTCTCCAGTATTGCCTAACATGGGGCTAAATGCTTCTTGGAATTAAGAACATAGAATGTACCACAGGATTCCAGAACAGTGGGGAATTGAGGATGATTTAAAGCAAGAATGCCAAGGGATTTTTTTCTACTTAAAAACCTTGTCTGCTTTTCTTTTATGCATTACCCTTACTACGTGAAAAATTTCTATGTATTTAATCTCTGCAAATGCATTCCACAGACACACCCAACAAGTGTTGGTTCAGCTTCAGAGAAATAATGCCATATACATTGTGCCTCTTTTCCAAGATGCCCTGGTGAGTTTCAATTTCCATAACTCTGGGTAAGTTCTACGGGCCAACTTATATGTGCAAACTGCATACTTACACTGAGCGTCTTTGATTGACGGGAGGGAGGCCTGTAACTCATCCAGGGGACTGGCTAGCTTGCGTATGTTCTGAATGTGCTTTTCCATGGCATTATGCAGATCTTGGTTAGACCGACTGGCCTTGGAATTGCCCTCCTTGTACTTGGAGAACTCTTGCTTGATGTCATCCAGGATTTTTGTTGGGCGCTTCCCACATTCCTTCTGTAAGAATACAGATATACACATATTTTTCTTCACCCTGCAAGACACCCCCCCCCAAGATCTCTGCCATCCCCTGCCCAAACAGGATGTCAAACACTTTTCGTACATTGAAGAGGAACATAAAGTTGCCATAAATAAAAGTGAAGGAAAAATTCAATGCCTGGACCCTTCAAATTGAATCTTTCTCAAAGGCAAAATGACAAGTGGACAGGGCAAACAAGCAAACGGGGAATCAACCAAGCATGGATGAAAGCAAGAGGACAAAAGGAAAGGTCAAGGCTGGATAAAGGGGCAAGGGGTGAAGGGGACTGCATGAAAGGCATGGTCAAGCAATAACGGAATGTACGATGGGAAGAGATCAAAGAAAAAATACAAGGAAACGAACTGGACCGAAGTGGGGGAGGTTATAATCTGCAAACAAAAGAGAGGGAAAGAAAAGAGTGTTAATTAGTAGTTTCTCTCTTGGATGTTCAGGCCATGGGGTTGTATGGTGCGGAGATGTTTGATCCAAAGCTTCTTGCTGTTGAAGCGAACAGCATCTTTATGATGCCCAAGTGATTCTATGCCCTGTAAGATCATGTCAGACATAGAATGGTTAGGAAGGTTGAAGTGATAGCCCGCAGGGGCATCTAGTCGTTTGGTGTTGACTGTAATCTGTGGCCATAGAAACGCTACTTGAGAGTGTTCTTAGTCTCTCCAACATACTGAACACTGCACACCCTGCAAGAGATAAGATAGATGACATTAGAAGAGCTACAAGTGATAGTGCTTTTAGTTCTGTAGGTGGTACCGGAGAAGAGTCCAGAGAATGTATCCGATTCAAGGACATGGTTCTGGCAAACAACGCATCTGTTAGAATCACACTTGAGCGTGCCTTGATGGGAGGGGGGAAGGGTATCCAAGGGGGGCACCTCTGCCCATGTACCTGTAGATAGTGTTAGCCAATAAAGGAGAACTTGTTCTTGGCTAGTACAAGTCTCATAAGTGTCGCGACATCATTGATGGGGGGAGTTGTGTGCCTGCTCTTCACGAAAGCAGAGCAACAGGCACGAATACCTTCTTCATGGGGAATGTAAGTATAGAGGGAAGAAACATCAAAGGTCCCAATGATGGCTGTGCTGGGAATCTGGTTCTTAATATTTTCCAGCTTTCGTAGGAATTCTGGCATGTTGTGGATATATGAGGGGTTTGTGGCATGAGGGGTTTGAGAAAAGTGTTAACAAACAATGATATCTGTTCAGTGGGCGATCCATTTCCAGAAACGATGTGCCTCCCCGGATTTCCTGCCTCATGGATCTTGGGGAATAGGTAAAATCTACTGTAATTTTATCTGTATCTCTTTTCTCTTCAGCTGACTTGAAATTCTACTCAGCTAAAGCAACAGGTGTAACATGCCAACATGCTAACCTGAAACTCTGCTTCCTGCTTGTCCTCTTCATCCAGGATTTCTTGCAGATCTTTAACATCAGCATCAACATCAAGAGCAATTCCAGACAACTCTGTCAAGTCAAATATTCAAAAATTGTTAAGTCCTAATGAATACACATTAGGGTCCAATTCACGATGCTGCTAAGCACACAATTTTAAGCTAACAGAGGCTTACGCATGTCAGGGCATTAAACAGAGCAAAGGCATGCTTATTTCAGAGGAAAGATTTGCGTAACTTAATGTCATAACAATGAAAATCCTCATGCATACGCAACCGTTAGCAAAACCATGGCAAGCACCGCCACGAAACAGTGCTTATGGTAAGCACTGTCCTGTGGTAGCTGATAGGTTGGGACGCTGTTGTGACTTGGCCTCAGGATAACTCACCTGTTTGATGTTGTTACACTAAGCAATTGTTGCATGTTGTTGTATTTTAGCAGGATTTCTACTTGAAGTCAATTAAGTTGAATGCATCTTTCTCTTGATTACATTTTGTGTATGTACATAATACTGACCTTGCATGCAGTTCACCAATTGCCTGATGGGATCATTCTTGACACTGAGGGCAGCACACACCTCCAACATGACCTGAGGCAGTCTTTCAGGCTCGTCTGCAGCGTCAAGTTTGAGCTGGTCAAGCTGCAAGGAGGCCATAAACTGCCTGCAAGAAGAAATACAGAGTGTCTGTAAATCGCTTGCAGATTGAATTATTTTGGCCAGAAACTTTCAAAAATGGCAAGATGCAGTGGCTAACGTACAGCCAAACGTCACAACTACTGACTCGTATAGGGTCATTTGCAAAATCCTTGTATGATACTTCTTTTTATATTTTGCAACACTACGAGTAATATCTTCCATAACAAGACAATGCACTGCAACTATGTTCAAGGATGACACACAGTCCACTTCAATAGACTTTATGGATACTGTGTTTGTATCATAGGGGAGAAATTGCATGCATACACTTCCGCTGGCAGTGACTCAGGACACCGATGGTAGTTTAATCCAGTAGCCATCCAAATGAATACAGACTGCTAGATCATAAACTTGTGCAGTAAACTACCCTTTGTTCATCACTGTGTGAATGATGCATACTTTCTTCATTTCGGAAGGATGACATGGGTTTACATGACAGAGTGATGAAGAAGTGAGTTTCAATGAAAAACAATATGTACGGACAGCTTTCCAATATTGACAGCTTTAGTAAGCAAACAACTGAGGATCTACTTCTCTTATGTTCTGTCAAATAACAAGTGCATTTCTCCAAATGGTCTATTCTTACTGTCAAACTATATATCAAGTGAAACAACTTCCTGATGCAATTATTTGCAACTTAACCCCATTTTGTGCTAGCCTTATTGGGGAATGTTCAAGACGTATTGTTCAGATGCTGACTTACTCCAGATGTTTAGACTTCTGTTCGATTTCATCTCCCACCCGTCGAAGCAGTTTGGCTTTTTCTTCACTGTACATTGAGGCAGCCTCGTGAGCTTCTATGGGAACCAACTTCTTGAAGATATCTGGCCCCGCTATGCTCTCGTCATAGGGTTGAAAGGTCAAAGATTTGACCAGGGAGGCACCTAATGGAAGTCACAAAACAATTATTGATATATTGTAAAAACGCTTTGACACATTTTTGGACTTCAATCCTTGACATATAAAATATTTCACTATTTTGTCACTTTTAAAAAGCCCTTTTCAACCCCATCTCCCCATCTCTTGGACTTTTTGTGTACAGAACATACTGTTCAACCTTCTCAGAACTCAAAAACCCTTGCATATTCCATCCCATACTGAAAAGGCTTCAAGAGTGAGACCTAGAGCCCAATTTTGAATGAAGAATTCACTAATAAAACTTAATGGGGTTCACTGGAATTTTGGATAACATCTATGGTTTTGCTAGTGATAAAAAATGTCTACGGTCATAGCAAAGACAAATCTCTTCAAAAAGTACTCTTTGGAAAAACCAAAACTTAACCACTTGCTGCCGGGTGGATTTTTCTTGAGCAAGACAAGATACAGGGTCCTTTTCAAGATTTTCCGCTTTCAAAATTCTTCAAAAATTTATCATTTCATTTAATAGCCGTTTATACCAAAATGAAGGACTCTTTGGGCACTACTCTAAAGCTGACAGGTAAAATTCATTGACTCCTGAATATTTCAGCCAGGCCTGCAGCCTTGGAAAAAGAGCCCAGATTGTGTGGTGTTACGTAAGATTCTTTTGTTCCCGAAACCGGCACGGTGCACTGCTGACCTCTTTTTAATAGGGGCCAGATTAACGTGCAGTGGTGCTGTGTGGCTCAGCGCTGTGGTGGTGGAGAGATTTTGTCCCCGGTGGTAACCCCCTTTTTCAAAACACGGCTGGATTATTTCCAATATTGAGAGCGAAAAAATGTCGGTAATGCCAAGCAGCTCAGTCTTTTGTGCTGAGCACGGTCTTTTGTTATGAGGCCCAAATCTTTTGTCCCAGTTCCAGGCTCCCCGGCTCTGCATATAAAGCCCATGTACTCGAAAACCGGTCACCCGGCAGGGAGTGGTTAAGAAGTCTTTCAAAAATTACACAAATGCTGAAAGCAGTGACCATTTGGGGGGTGTCTGTTTGAAATTTTGAATAGCGGATTATTTGTATAATAGCAGGTGAATATTTGAAAATGAAATCATTGTTTCCCTTCAAGTATGTTTACCCTAGCAACATAAAGACATATAATTATAAACTTTGAACTATGAAGTGAGTTATTGTAACTTCTTTCACAAGTAAACAAGGTGCAAGTCCGAAACCACACCTTTAATTTCTGGGAGGTTCTCGAATGCTGGCATGGCATCATGATACACAAAGTCGTTATCCTTTTTGGCAGCATCAAACTTCCCCAGGACCACATCTTTGGTGAAGTTGAGGGCTTGAAGGATAGCATTGTCTGCTCCCTGTGCAAAAACAAGCAGCATACTGGCTATATCTCCCTGGGCATTTTTGACAGGGACTAGGGCAGTGTGAGTTTGAATAATTTGGTATTCAAATAATCAACCTTCAATTTGACTGAATATTTCGTCATATCAAAACAAAATTTCCTCCTGACCACAAGCACAATACTGAAATAGCTTATAAAAATAGTCAACTGACAAGAAAAGAATTAAAACAGCAATTAATGTTAAAATATTTTTACATTAAAAATATGAGAAAAAACATTTGTAGGGACAGACATCATCAGCTTTTTTTCTACTTTTAAATAATACATTGGAGTTGGGTTAGAAAAAAAGAATGAAAGCTGGGGAAAACAATGGTAGTTTTGGCCTTAATCTTCTTCCTAACTTTTAAGTTTCTTGTAACACCATGAAATAAGGTTGTAAAATGAAGTTTTTCCTTTTTTGTTTTAGTACATTTTTATACTGAATATTCAGTTCCAAAAATAAATATTCAAAAGCCATTCAGTTGAGTATTAAAACATTTGGTACAGCCCTAACAGGGACCTTACTGAGTTTTTAAAAATTCCCCTTAGATTGGACTTGTTGACATTCCTGTAACATGAACTTTTAACAGGGTCTCAAGCTCCATCGTAGTTGGGTTCTAACTTCCCCAAACTTCCGATGTATTTTGAAGATGCTGAAGCGTTTCAAGGTTTATGATCACATGATCACCTAAACTTACTAGCACAACTGCAGGTCTGTCAGCACTTCACAGACAGTTTGGATACCTTCTCATAAGGACTTCATTTTCATTGCTTCACTGATGCAGTATTTGTAAAAGAATCTCACAGTAAGAGCTTGTGCCCCCCAAATTTGTAAGACCTGCTTGTGTAGACCAGGGCCAAATTTCATGGAGCTGCTTAGCACACGATTTCGCTTTAACAGAGGCTCTATGTATTTCATGGCGACCATAAACAGTTAGCACAGCCAAAGGCATGTGGACCTTGAGGAAACATTTGCTGAAACTTAGCGACATAACAACAGAAATCTCTGTGAGCGCACAACCGTTAGCACAACCATGCCAAGCACCACCATAAAACAGTGCTTAGGATTAGAAAATGTTTTGATAAAGTTAGCACGTTTTAAAACCTTGAGGAATTTGCTATTACCTGTGAGTTAAAAGTTTCATGTTCTGCAGGCACACATGGTTAATTACCTTTGATAATTTGATAGCTTCGTTGTGTCTGTCCAAGGCTTGCTGAAGCCAGCTCACTCTCTCACCATGCTTCTGCTTTTCATGTGACTGGTTGCTCATGTACATCTACAACATGAAAAAGGTTGTGGAAGACTCTTTTGAAAGAGTTCAGGAACCAAACCTCAAACATCTTAAAGTCAGGTTTCACAGCTCTTTCAACTCAAGCTTTTTAAATCCTTAATTCCTAACAGTAGGACTAAGTTGAAAACAGCTACACATGCTGTTGTCTATGTTGACCTGTCCATTAAATCAGGTATCTTCCTTTTTCATAGAGAAGTGGTTTTGTCATGAAATTCTAGTCCTGTGTACAACAAACCATTTACTGCTGGTTTAGGCTGCAGCCAGGATCTCTGATGATTTCAGTAAAAATCCACCCGACAAAATTCTGTTATCCCACAGACTGAGTGCAACGAATTCCCCAGAGAGGCACCTGAACTTACATAGGCCACACTAAGGAAGTGTGCGATCTTAACTTGGATGGTCTTCCTCCATGTCTTGCTCCTGCGAGAGCCCATCAGACTGCTGATGTTGCTATCCTCCAGTCCCCGGAGTGCCTGACGGTAGTAGTCAATCACCTGCATGCTGATGCGAGCCACCAGGGAGCTCTTACGGTTGTCCTGCATGGATTTCTCCAGTAGACACTCTTGGGCCTGTCCCTATAAAATAACAGCCATCAAATCGTAGTCAGCATTTTATAACAAAGACACAGGAGTGAGTTAAAATGTTTGTCTCTGAGACAAAGTGAGTCCTGCAGCACAACG